CTTGTGTGATGACTTCTGAGTGACAAAGTTCCCCTTGACAAATTCACGATGGATATCCACGGAATCGTTTGGAATCGCGCGCGTGCGTACCGTATGTGTCTGTGCGCGCGCGTGTGCGCACATGTGTGTGTGTGCGCACGCGTGCGTACTGTATGTGTGTGCGCGCTTGCGTACTTTATGTGTGTGTGAGTGTGTGCGTGTGTGTGTGTGTGCGCGTGCTTGTGTTCGCGCGTGTGTGTGTGCGTGTGTGCGTGTAAGTGTGTGTGCGCGCGCGTGTGCGCACATGTGTGTGTGCGCACGCGTGCGTACTGTATGTGTGTGCGCGCTTGCGTACTGTATGTGTGTGTGAGTGTGTGCGTGTGTGTGCATGTGTGCGTGTAAGTGTGTGTGCGCGCGCGTGTGTGTGCGCGTGTGTGTAGTAGATAGTATTGTTCAACATTTCGTCATGTTGGCCATACTGGAATTTAAGATGGCTGCCATATGGTTTGACAGACATGTCAAATCAATCCATTATTGAAGTCAGCATGTCAAAATGCTCTTGTGTACCAAATTTCAGCGCCGCAAGTCATAATTAGAACCCAAGATAGTAATGTTCAATGTTTCGTCATGGTGGCCATATTGGAATTCAAAATGGCTGCCATATGGTTTGTCAGACATTTCAAATCAATCCATTATTGAACTCAGCATGGCAAAATGCTCTTGTGTACCAAATTTCAGCGCCGCAGGTCATTTAGAACCCAAGATAGTAATGTTCAATGTTTCGTCATGGTGGCCATATTGGAATTCAAAATGGCTGCCATATGGTTTGTCAGACATGTCAAATCAATCCGTTATTGAACTCAGCATGTCAAAATGCTCTTGTGTACCAAATATAAGCGCCACATGTCATTTAGAACCCAAGATAGTAATGTTCAATGTTTCGTCATGGTGGCCATATTGGTTTTTCAAGATGGCGGCCGATCCATTGGTCAGATCTCTTGGATCCAGCAATTTTTGAAATCAGCGCCCCAAAATACCCCTGTATACAAAATTTCACCCTTTCTGCCAGATGTGAACATTTTTTTCACATATCTGCCCCACTAGTAGTCAAAATCGTTCCTAGCAAGTTAAATAAATAAATTTATAATAAAATCATTTTACTAAGTATACTAAATGACTGGACTTATGGTCTATATGTTGACTTGACTGGTTGTAAGAACAATGCAAAACATTTGTACACATACTACACAATGAATCTGATGCATAAGATCATATTTATGTAAGTGCGTGCATTGAGCTTGAGGTATTCATTGACATATTGCAGGATGAGTTTCTCGACGTTATATACTGGATTCGACAAGTGCTTGGCCTTATTATTGGAATTACTTGGGGAGTCGTCGCAATGAAAGGATTCGCTGGAATCATATCGTACGTACCATAGACACAGAGGGAGAGGCGGATGCTGATGGAGAGAGATGGATATTGATGTTGTGAGGGAGGAAGGGAAGAGTGTGTGGATGGAGGCAGAGAGAGATGGATTATTGGAAGGGGGAGGGATTGAGACAGAGACAGAGAGACAGAGAGAGAGAGAGACAGAGACAGAGACAGAGACAGAGAGAGAGAGAGAGAGAGAGAGAGAGAGAGAGAGAGAGAGAGAGAGAGAGAGAGAGAGACAGAGAGACAGAGACAGAGACAGAGACAGAGACAGAGACAGAGAGACAGAGACAGAGACAGAGACAGAGACAGAGACAGAGAGAGAGAGAGAGAGAGAGAGAAAGAGACAGACAGAGACAGAGACAGAGACAGAGACAGAGACAGAGAGAGAGAGAGAGAGAGATTTTTTAATGTAAACACTATTTGTTTTTATCCAGGTTTTCTCTACTAAATGCTGGCCTTGTCTATATATATTTTAACAACTTTCAAAAGGTAGAGGAGGAGGAATATGGTGGTGCTTGGGAAATTACGAAAGAAGGGTTCATGACCTCGTTTGCATCTTTTATGGTGAGTACACTTGAACAATAATCAGCATAGATTAAATTTGTCTGTTGTGCATTTGTGTGTTTAGGTGGTTCCCAAGTATGCAATAAAAAATGATTTGTAAACACGAAAGAGATGACGACCCAGCCTTCAATAATAATGTCTTTTCCATCCAAGTGGGGATAACTTTTTGTTAAGGGTGCTGTCAGATCTTAGTGATGTAACAATGATTTCTGAGTTCTTTGTAGTATTGATTGAAATTGGTCATTAGATGATCACTCAGTCAAATCTTATGGGTCCTTGGTAACTGAACTTTTTAAACTCTGACATGATTCAATTATTTTATATGTTCGGTGTTTCTACATATTATGTGTGTACTATGTTAAACTCATAATATTTTTATATTCAAAGGTGTCATGGATTATTGTGTATTCTGCAATACAGTACGGCTGAAGGTGGTTCCAATGTGTAGATCAGCTGTAGATTGGATAATAAAGAATTGATGGTAAGCTATGTTGACTTACCAGAGATCGTTTGGCACAATTACTATTTCCTTCAGTCCTTTGTTTTTATCTGTAATATTTATCTCTAATCCCTTTATATACCCCAAAGATACTATCAGAGGTTTGATCCAGAAATGACCAATGACAATGGTCAATGTGTAAATGCCATGCAGTATTGGAACCCGATTTCACCTGTAATTGTTTATATGGAGGTGGCTAATGCAAGACATCATGGTATGTTGTACCATTATCGTGCGTGGCATCTGATGTGCTGTCTATAATAACTAAGTTTGGTTCGCCACTGTTATTTCTTTATATTATATATCATTGCTAAGTAAAAATGTCAAGACTTTTGGGGTCTTGACATTTAACTAATGTTTTAGTTTTTGTGTTAAATATTTTGTTGCAAATTGAATGGTGCAGGGTTTTTGATGATAAACTAGACTTTCACCAAGCTGCAATTACGTCTTCATGTGAAAATCAAGGATACGAGTGGCAACAGTGGCGGCTCTCACGCGTGCTCCATATGAAACTGGACTTTAACCTACTACAACTATGTTCAAAGTTCATAGGTACACTAACAATTAAGTCACTTATAACTGCCTATGTAGATGCAATATGTTTAGGGTGAAATTATAAGTTAAACATAATTTCTTATCAGTACCTCACTTTAGAGTATTCTATGTGTGGTGTGGCATTTTTAAGCAATTTAAAGCCAATCATTGGAAGTTTGCTGTGTATCTTTTTTATTATTAGAGCTCTATAACTCAAAACTACATGTACAAATGCAGGAAGTGACTATGACATTACGGAGGGCTTAAAAGTTTGCAACTATTACTATATACAGTCACCAAAGAAATACAAAGGGTTATGATATTTTGTATAGTGATTGCACAAGTTATATTTTAATAAAGTAACATTTTGATTATGATAGTATCAAGAGCTAATAATATGTGTATTATTAGCTCTTGATAGTATAGATTTTCAACAGTAAGTGCCAAAACTGATGTTGAGTCTTCGTGGTCTACAGGTCTGGATAACATACTCCTTAATTGGTTCTGCTTGTTACATGACTGCAAGTGATGTAAAACGGACTTTCAAGTAGGTAACCCACTAACCCGGCCAATTCTTTGAAAATAATGACCGTGACTTTATAAAACAGCCTCTAGTATTAATAACACTTTGTTAAATACATGTTGTACAAGTAAACGGACGGGCATAGTACATTTAAACCTCGATTACCCTAACGAGACAGGCGGGGAGTATTTTGATCGGATCACCGACCTGATCATAAATCATTATTAAATATTCACAGGACCTTGAGATCTTGTTCGAATAATCCGAAATTCGGATAATTGATGTTCGGACGACCGAGGTTCGACTGTATACTATATGCAACGTAACACCCATTATAATCCTAGGTGAAGCGCCGGTCCCGGCCTCCAGTGTAACAAAATAATGATTTTTACCATGTCTATGCTATATTCTGATCATTTTAGCCTATTATGGTTTTTGAGTAGCACATTTTTTTTCACTATTTCTGGTATATTTTAGTCGTGAGAAATGGATGAATAACCACAATACATTACATAACATTAGATTCTCCAGGTGTAAGTGTGTACACATTAATTCATACTAAAACTTGCCAGGTAGGAACTGAGTATTTCTGCAAATTGCCCAATTCACACATTCAGTTTGGCTGTGATATAGATAATTAATCAGTGGCCACCATTGTCAGCATGCAAGTTTTATTGTTTTACCACAATATTAACAATGTCTGCACTGCTCTACTCTCATTGGTATGGCATACATAACAATATTAACAATGTCTGCACTGCTCTACTGTCATTGGTATGGCATACATAACACGAATCAGCCCAGCAGCAGTTTAAAAATTATTTACACTAGTTAACGTATTTCCGCACGCAAACATCTCTTATTACTATATACTACTAATATGAACAACATTAACTTTATGATGATAGTATCATTGGGTAGGAGAGTAGGCACACGGCCTTGTGAGTTTCCCAAATAGTTGATTCAGGAAACCCTACGAAATGATTTGATGAAATTTACATATAAAAAAATAGTTCTCATAACTAACTGCCCAATTTCATTTAATGGAGTGCAGATATACTGTGCCGTCTTAGTCTGCCAATTTTGAATGGTTTTTCATATTCTTATTCAATCTACAATGAGATACTGGCATGATGGCATGCTATAATTGTATTTGACAAGATATGGGTGAGGCAAAGTGCAGATTTGAACAACATAGTGATAGCTTGTTTACAGGGCAAAATTCGGCTGTTTAAAAAACCATAAAATGGGGTGGTTATCATCACTTTTGGAATTGCAAGTTCTCGCACAAACGATTTGCTATGCAGACAATGCCCTCAGACAAAGATCATCTGCACTGGCTAACCATTTTCTATACAAGACAACTCTGCATGTGATATAAATTATTTTTTACAACTTCACATAAACGAGTATACAATTATTTAAAATTAGAAATATTACTAATAGAAAATTGGTCCATTACAATCACATATTTTCTTATTTTCAACACTTAAGAATGAAGTGAATATCTAAAATAATATTGACCATCTGTTGCGACGAGTAACCACCGTGCTTTATGACTGCGATGAATGTTGTGTGAAGAATTAAAACCCGGGGGGGGGGGGTGCACTCCCATACTAAAGTGGTACGCATGCTCGTCAAAGCATCTCAAAGTTGGACCATTAATGGTATATTCAGCGGTAGCACATTTCACCCCTTATTAGCGTAAGATAATGTAAATCTTACCCCTAAATGGCGTAAGACACTAAAACGGACCCTGAATGGCGTAGCACAATAAATTGGTCCCTTACGTTGAGACTAGAAAACCCGGGGAGAATCCTTTTGAGAATGAAAACACGGAAATAAATGGGCGAACCGAATGATGAAAACCAGGCGAAAAAGTACCTCTTTTTCTAAAGACGTCGTCGACGCTAAGGGTCAAAATCCAACCCTTTTTCGACGTTTTCTGTGACGAGCATGCATACCACTTTAGTATGGGAGTGAGCACCCCCCCCCCGGATTAAAACCTGCAAAAGTTTCCTTTTGAAAAGTAAGCTAGTCAACACGAAAATAAGAAAACTAAAAAAAAATATTTTTAAATTAACATATCGCACCTATGGAAAGTGATTATAATAAAAGAAAAATTAATCAATTTGTACATAAACAGCTATGGCAAACATTTGCACTTGGGTTAAAGGGACAGTAGCCTCTAGGATTTTACTTTATACAACTGTACTTACTGTATAACAAATCGTCTATACCCACACGTATTTGTTACCAGATACCTAATTTAATTGTTATAATTAATTACACATCATCGCTACGAAATTTGAACGGCGTCATGACACCCGCGACCGTGCTGCCACCCCGAAAAAGTTGTGTATTTGACCATTTATTTTGCACATTACAGACCGAGGGCTAATCACAAAAGTGCAATTATATTTATACCTAAATGCTATTTAACCGAACGATATTCATTTTAGGGCAAATTTATCTATATTATAACTGAAACTATATGTCGTTTATAAGATATTACAATCCTTTTGCTTTTAAATGAATAAATAAGAAACACCCTCGGTCTGTAGCCCTTGGCTGGAAAGTGGTTTTGCGCAACTTATCAGATCGTGCACTTTGAGTGGCGCCACCATCATTGTAATCAAACTGTAGTCGTTAGTTTTAAAACATAAAAAAAAATATTTCTAATGGTGATTGAACCATGAAACTTTTTATGTAGCATAATTATAACCTAAATTAGCTGAAAATAACCCTAGAACCTAGAGTAAACTCTCTCTTTAAATGTTAGGAAAATGACTGTAATACAAATAAAAAACTATTCATATATAACGAGTATGACCGACTTTTGCACGTGGCGGTAAAACGTTACAGATTTAGTTATCTAAGTGTAAAAGTCTGTCATAGTCATTATATATTAATTGATTTTTCTTGTATTACAGTAACTTTTAGTAGGTGCAATATTTTGATATAATATGTATATACATTTTATTCATCTAGATTTTAACTTAATTTCCTGCTGCAAAGAGCTGACATAGATTTTATAGTAACATTTATAAATAGTTGAATCAATATTTAGTCTGTGGGAATTTATCTAAAATGTTATAAATTTACTGATTTAAATACATACTGACTAAATGTTGATTCAACTATTCACAGCTGTTATTATTTAACAAATTATAAAAGCATCACAAAACAGCATATACTAAAGATCACAAAGTAAACTTTAAATGAAACTAAACATAAATGTGTTGTACACATCAATGAGACAATAAAGTGAAAAAACAGTGCCAACATGTCTACTTACAGACTAGTCTGCAAAGAATTGTGTAATCTAGATTGAAATGTAGATGATAAAACAGCTAGCCAAGCATTTTCACAGTGTCTCTGATCCCCACAAATTAGATCTGAGATTGATGCTAATGTTGACTGGTGCATTGCCAACAACACCGAATCTGAATAGTAAATGGAGTGAAATACTGAAAACGCATGAATTGAACATGTCATGTTTTAAAACGTTGATGAGTTGTGGTTTACTTCTCATTCCACAATATTGCAGCACTCCTAGACTAGAATAATTGTTGGTTAAGGGACTTGACCATTCATGACACTGACCACTTTCTAACAGAAGATCTAACGTATGCAATTGCCAATGTTTGAAAAGAAATAGGCATTCAACATCCCCATTAAAATTTCTACCAGAAAAAATTTATATCCGGCCTAACGTTACAAACAGTTGATTAAATATGAACATTTGGTTACTAAATGTTTCTTCTAATCCTTTAAAATCAAGCTTATAATGTGTTCACATCATAAGTTCTTTATTACACCTTGGGAATCTAACCTCGTCATTACAAATATAATCAGGAGTTAATAAAGACAAAGTTTGTCTTTATTAACTCCTGATATAATGTGTGGATACCTGTTAAATAACTAAAACCCCCAAACCTACATTAAGACAACGTATTTTCAATAAATATTTAATTTCGAATTGTAATTTTGAATTTTCAACAGATTTGTCAAAAGTTGGTATCAACAGCATCATGGATCGATTGACTAAGAAACTAGAATTATACAGGGCTCTCAAGGGTTAGCTTTAAAAATGAGTGAGATATATTTAGAATCTGAAAATCCAAGGCCGAATGCCTTGGCGCTGCGGTCCTAAACATTTTTTTTTAATAGGGTGCTATTTGATGCCCTCAGCAGCAATCTGAACATGATATTTGTTGCTTATATAAGCATGAAAGGCTATTTATAGTAACGCGGGACGTCAGATTAGCAAAATCAGTTGCTGGGTGCGCCACAAGTAATAAATGTCGAGATTCCCGTGCCTCCCGTCCCGCGTTTTTCGGCAAAGTTCAGCTAAACCCACTCCACGCAATGAAGAAAAACTGGATTCTTGCAATTGCGTGATATTTTCTGGGACTATCAGAAATGTGCTGAATTGTGTGAGTCTCACGCCAAATGCGTGAGGCTTGTGAGGCCTGACTTATAACTTTTATATAACGTATACCTTGATAGTTACTATAATATAGATAGATAAGAAACATGGACTTTTAAATGGATTTTTGTATCATGTACAGTACATATGTGAGTGAATACTAAAATTAGTGCTACCGACAAGCACATGCCAATGCTAGTAACACATATTTGCTAAGAATGCATTAGTTGACACCAGACAGATGATATACCCTGCCCACCTGAAACTTTGTATGCCCACAAATAGAACACAAAGAATTCCACAAGATATTTACATATACCAACAATAAGCAAGTTGATTCAAGATTATCATACAGAAATAACTTACAGCACAGAACATTTAATTACATAATCCATGACCATGAAGAATATTTTACATAATCCATATTGTAATGTGAACGCGTATATGCAGGGCATCCGTACACTATTAAGTGGGAAGATGTAAATCTAAAACTAGGAAATAAAATGGAGTTTTCCTTCAAAATATCAGAAAGGTTTTTTTCACAACGGATGCGCTTCCCATGACCATTGCAGTAAACACCATGGTATCAATGCATTACCAGATTTGAGAGAAATCTTAAAATATTATACTGCAGCATTACCAGGACAGTGTGTTTCCAATATCAGAGATAAGGAATGAAAAACTGTCACCGTAAAATTATAATTATACGATTCTCCCAAACGTTTGTGGTGATTTTAGGTATGCCTGTATTGAATGCTGAAAACCTACAGTGGTGTAGCCCCTTGATGATTATTTTATGGTTGCTGGTTAAGTTTTGTATTGGTTTCTAATTAGGTCATGGACCTTAAAAGATTGGGGACTGGAGGTACAGGTAAGCTATGTAGGAATATGACGTAAAGTACCAGTGTTCTATACAATTTCTTCACATCTATACCACGTAAAATCTGAAAACACAGAACCACTTTGTTAGAAACATGCTCAGTAACATAGGCAACGGTTCGAAACTATACATTGTAAAGGCTAAGAACAATTAACGTCCAAACTAATGCCAGATTGGAGTGTGGGAAAATAGGAGTAAATGGCAAGAAGAAGAAAAAACGTTAAATTTGACACCCTGCATATGTACCCAATCTGCAAACCTGTCGGTTCAATGAGCCAGCAAATGTCTGTATGCCACGAGAGGTCACATTGCTGCACCTTTACGCACATTACGCGATCAACATCCACACCAGTCTCGCCAGCATGCCCTGAACTACTGTGAGTCACGACTGCTACTGTCTGTGCTGTTCATGGTGGATGTGGTGATTTTGCTGTAGACAGTCACAACACTGTTGCCTACTGCATCTGCTTGCTCTATCATTGTTGCAGCGAGCGTGTGAAGATTTGCCTCCACAGTAGGTGCATCATTTTTCTCTTCCAGCACTGCATTGTTCTGACCAGCAGGCACCGAAACGGATATGCTGCCTTGTACTGGCACTGTATCTCCGGATGCTAATTCCTATGGATAAATGATACATCATGTTAGCATGAGCTAATAATGACAAATTTTTGTCATTATTAGCTCCTGATGTTAGTGATACATGTGTCACCTTCATTTTATCACACAAAATTATCGAATAATGGTGCAGTATTATTGCCCTATTATAGTGTGAGAATGACGTTAAAAATAAATACGAATGTAGGCTACGAATATATAACAAATGAATTACAGAAATTGTCTTAAACATGTGAAATTCTTTTGAGAGTTTCTGCATCCCAGGGTCATTGAAAATTGTGCATCACAAACACAGATTTTTGTAATCAAATGTTAGCGGATTTATCAACTAGCACACAGTAGCTATTCGCATCATTTTCGTTTCTAATAGATATATGTCTGCTACTAAAAGAATCATGTACTGGTGTTTTCAAAAAGAATATTTTAAACTTAAACTCCCAATAGTCTATAACATGTAAAGAAATATTTGAAATATAACCAGCACATTTTCATCATCAGCATGCAAAATGTTAGCCAGACTCCATTCGTTATCAGAGCACATACCATAACCAAGTCACATGGTAACAAATACATTAAACTATTATATATTAAATAAATTTTATTTTATTGATGTATTGATCATTCCTGTTGTGCCAATGTTTATAATGATTTTTTTTATTATGGATAACGCATCGTCCAGATTTCATTTCAATAGTCTGTGTTTGTACTATAGAGGGGTGTAGGTGTCACCTACTGCAAACACTTATTGTGTCCAAGCAACTGACAGTACAACTTGGGAAAGACAACTGATCAGTTGCCGAAACTGTCATATCGTTATAAATTTAGCATTCATCATAAATTATATAAAATAATAATTAGCCATGACCTTATGACAAGACACATCAGTGTTATTGATTCATTATCACTTTTAATATAACCATGCGTGGATAGGTGCACGCATAGTGCAATACTGTGTGCGATTGCAATATACTCTTAAATAGATGACTGTATAACTGTATAAAAAGTTTCAATAAACAAGAACACCTCACATCTATGAACTATAAAAGCACATTTGTACTCACATCACTATCAGACTTATTTCCCTGTGTCGTCTGCTGTAGTCTGGCACGAGCTTGCTGCAAGGTAACTGGACAGTCTTTATGTGCAAGTAACATGGTCTTCAATTGCACGATTTCTTGGCGTAGCATGTGAACCTCATTCTGAAACAAGAATCAAACAGTCAACAAGATTTTTGCTATCACGAATGTGAAAATCCGATTTCCCATTATTACAATTGTAGAATTTCCCCTGTTGATAGTCTTAAATGTATTGACAGTCTATCTACCTTTTGATACAAAACTCAATATCTAAATATCTGCCCACTTCCCAGTTCCAAATATCTGTAGATAACAACACTTGGCGATTGTTACACATGAACACAAAAAACTGTGACATTCACCTGCCTAGCTGCAAATAATATGCAGACACTTGCAGACACAAAATACTTTATGCTGACCTGTAGGTGTGTGTTGACATTGAGGAGACCATCGGACTTTGTCTCAAGTGCAGTGATCCACATTTTCCGCTTTGTGCGACATCGTGTGGCTGCAGCGCGGTTTCGCTCCAGAAACCGTCTCCGTTTCTCATCTGGATCGTCAGTTTCACTCGATCGGCGCCTCCTAGTGGATAAATAAATTCAATTAAAATGTGCATACGACCAGAAATGATTTTCGGACTACATAATATACTGAGTGACGTAAATTCTATTTACACAACTACTTGGAGTGGGTTTCTACTGATGTGGATTTAAACCCTTGAGTCCAGTATAAAATAAAGAAACCGAAAACAACAACAACAACAGCAACTTACTAATAGCAGTAGGTTATCACGATCATAACGATCACTGCAACTTGGTGCAGCGCGGCAGTGATTATCTAGCACATACTGTTGTGGTTATGACTGCTGGTACTATTATAGATGAGGTATGGCATTGAACAAGTACAAATCTGTGTTCATTTTGCTTCTGCTAGGGCTGAACACAGTATAGGTTGTGATATTTAAATCCACAAACATGTGCTTTGAAAACGAGAAGTCAGTGCTGATACAAAACAGTTCCACACTGGTTCTATCAGACCATCTAATGGAAATAAGTCTAATATACCCTTTCAGTCACTATGGTTTCACACCCTTTCCCTTTTGATGGTGAACAGACCCTTATACAATTCTACAACCTCTATCCAGCAATATCAAATCAATTGAAAATTTACACGCATCCCTGACAAATGCAGGAATGCTATTTTTCTTCCACGGTTCCTAATATGAGGAAAGATGTATACTCTGTCGTCGACAGCAATGATAAACTTCGCATACGGAGAAGTATGCGACTCATTTTTTAGATAGTGATTGGTTCCGATTCACCTTGTTGTGAGTGATGTGACCATCACCTCAGGAGAAGAGGATGTGGCTGTACAAGTGCTTATTGGCTGTGTCATACACACTGTACCATTCAGCGATAAGGCCGGAGCTGATGATATCACCTTCACTCCAGGAACAAGTCTCTGACCCGAGTTGCTCTGGATCTGGTTCTGTGTCAGAACTGCTTTAAGTTTCTGTGGAAATAAGAATAGACATCAATTCAGTGTAGGGAGCTGTGCTGTGATAGTTGCATATCTGTGCCTAACCTGCTTCTAGTGGTTGCAACCTATTACATTACACACACATTTACTATTTACTGAAACGATTATGGATTTTTAAACATTGCTTTTCGCATCTATTCAAGTCACAGTTGCAGTACTGGCTGGCACACTTTAACCTAGACCTCTATTACATTTAACAGCGACGATTTTCCATCTTACCAATTTTGCTAGGGACACATTAGGTGGCGCAGCAGACCGCACAGACGTAGTGACGATGCCAGGACGAGAAGTACTGTTTGCTGGAGCAACGACAGGCAATATTGCTGCTCCTGATTGTGGAACCTATGTAAGAGCAAGCATAACTCTATATTCCTAGCAATGCATAGGAGTAATTTATCACCATTCCGGCTTCTTTCTATTTCCCAGTATTCATATTTTACTTTATAATTGTCGGATACAGTATCAAAGGCCTAGTAAGATGAGTGTGCGGAACAGGATTTAGAAGGCAACAACATCTCGCAAAGGCCAACACTCACAATTCAACCAATAAAAACAGCTGATGTTGCTGGATAGATCATGAAATTCAAACATGTTACCTTCCTACTGTAAGTGGAACAACAATCGGCCAACAGTTTTTAGCAGGGAAACTACTTACTCCTACTGTACTACCAAACGAGCAAAATGGTTATTACAGTTGCACAAGGGTGTGATACTGGCCAGGAAAAACACCCTGTAACATGTGATGCTAAGCAAGAACAACGTGCAAGTATTCGTAGATTACAATAACCTGCACAGGCACAGTCTTGCCATCGGAAAGCTTGAGAAGTAATTGCACAGCATGCGGAGCCAGGACAACTTGGTTGGATGCATTAACACCCTAAAAGGAAAAATTTACATTAATACATGTGTTATGTGATGGTGTGAACAGATTTTACCACTTCGTTAACTATTTATCTTGATACATTATATTGTGATAAATTACATCACATCAAAAGCACAAACCGTAGAGAAACGTTTTAGAGACTGGTACCTATTTCGAAATGTAGATAAAAGTAATATAGTGTAGAGACAGGCGACTGGTGGATGGCATCTCGGAAGAGCAAATCATGTGCAATGTTTGTTGACATATGTGAAGAAATCTACTTTGACATAAAGATCGGTGCACATAGATGAAAAAACGATTGTGCAAGTATTCTATGACATATTAGCTTTACTATATACACTTGGTGTTATGCAAGGAGTACAGGTAGGTATCGGAATGGTCGGGAAAAAGTGAAAATGGTTGTATAAAACAACAAATCCTCGCCTTAAAGAAATGAGTAAGTGTACGGTCACAGATGCATCAACACCACCTAACAAATTCTGATAACATAACTGTAACGTACGCGCAGCGCAGCTCACGCATGAGCAGTCAGTAATGTCTCGTCTGTTAATCACCTGTTGAGAGAGAATCTGAGATGGAGCTGTGACGACAACAGGTGCTGTATTCAAAACCTGAGCAGCTGTACATACTATATGGCCAGCAGTTTGACTGGAATCCAGTGCATCTCTTCTCGATTGCTGTGAGGAAATAACCACGTGTGGCACCACAACTGGAGCCGAGTAAGAAGCCTTTGGAATGGAGCTTGTAGGAATGGATGTTTGTAGTTGTCTGCATACAAAAATAACAGCTCCATCACTTAGTTATAACATATGTGATATTTAAATTAGTTTAACAATACATTTTCAGGCAACCATTATAATCACTAACAATAGCACCAGGTATACTGATCAACTATTTAGCATTATTTTATGTAAATTACCTACTATTCATTATGAAGTAGGGGTGAAATTGAAAAGGGTAAGAGTCTACTACGTTGCCACAACACACTTTTATATAGTTATTTACAAAAAGTGTTATCTGCAAAACATCGGAAAATCTATTCACACTATTTGCTAACAGGCCTCTAGATTTTTGAGCAGTTAAACATACACTAACTGTTCACACCATTTTGATACTTGTCACAGTGAAAATGCATGCATCTTTCTACAATGCAACTCACCTAAGATATTACTATCACTCCAACTGTTCAAGACCACACACATAATAATAATACATTATGCATACTATGTCACTAATCTATATCCTATCTACTCAAAACTCAGTTAATAAAGGAAAATAAAGTTAATCTGAGGTAGATTCATAATAAAGTTGTACAAACTTACACTGATGAAATTTTCGTCTATCTCACCGATAGACTTCTTCAGGTCTGATGCATCTAGTTAGATGGCAGCACTGGAAACAAAGTTCGAACTTGGTCACTTTCGGGCTTCACACCTGCACGAGAGAGCCGTAGACTTCGGGCGGCCCCCCAGTCTACGGCCCTCTCGTGCAGGTGTGAAGCCCGAAAGTGACCAGGTTCGAACTTCATTTCCAGTGCTGCCATCTAACTGGAAACGTCAGACCTAAAGAAGTCTATCGGTGAGATAGACGAAACTTTCGTCAGTGTAAATTTTTATAACTTTATTATGGATCTAACTCACATTAACTTTATTTTCCTGTTAACTACAGAGATCCAATAAAAATTTTCAATCAGTATGGCAGAACGATAGCAGTCAGTAATGACAGATGCAGACGTACACAGGAATGTGCAGGAGCGGAAAAACAGATAAAGGGATAGACCGACAGATGCATCGATGCCCAGACAGCTGCAGATGGACAGACAGACATTCTCACCACTATACTAGCTGCACCTCACTATGTTAAAGGAGCTAAAAGCATACACAGTTGTAAAGGCCAGTTGCTCCTGCTGACAAACTGTCTCTGTAAGAGTTGTGACCTGCTCTCCGGCTGTTGCTGTTTGTTCAACAACGACTTCACTCTCTTCAGTAGCGCGTGTCGCTGATGATGGCTGCGGGGTCTCCGGAACTAGATTAAATATATGTAATGCTTGGTTTTTTCACTGCTTTTATCCGCACAATTTCACTGCACACATGCGCATATGTGGAAGAATATTTAAATTAGATCAAATATGTATTCTGACTTAAAAAGCAGGATTATTAACAAAAGACAGGCAACACATATATCTTCGCTTAGGTTTACACAGGGTGCAACACACCTTGACGAATTTGGCAAATATCTAAACATAACCATGTGATACAATACATGAACTCCCTAATCTACTAAGTTTGTATTACATGAACATGTGAACGATGGCTTACTCGAAGCAAAGACAATAACATCAGGTGAATCACTGACTGGCCGCCTACAGATTGGTGGTTTGTCGACTGTTATTATGCATGGTGTGTGCAACACATCAGACTGGTCAGCCTGGAAGCAAAAAACAAAGTTCACATTGTACTTCTTATTGTATATTACCAGGACCAGCAGCTCTGAATTATGTAGCAGAGGGATCACATGTGATATCCTACAATATATCTACACAAAAATCTACAATAAAGTAAAGCTTATGGTGACAAAGGCAATTAACATTAAATTATTAAAAAACATTAACTAACTGTTAACTTCCATTACATCTATGCTGACTTAATTGCATAAACTGCTTATGTAGTCTTCAATAGCATGACACCAAAAATAATATACTCTCATAAATCTCTCATTAAAACTTGAAGAATAATCACATTATATGCCACAGCGACAATAGGTATGGGCCTGGTATGCTATCCACAAATTGTTCATTTATGGTGATAAATGGTTTTAGTCGAACCTCATGATGTGGCACAGGGTTACCAGCACTAACTGCAGCAGCAGCTTTCTTAAAGCTCTCCTCAAAGGGGTTAACGCTATGCAGATCTTGAAATAGCCCTACTTCTTCACAATTTCGTAGAAACCGTGTAGGTGTAGGAGTTTGATCAGCTGAAATAGGAATTAAGTATCCATTATTGACATGAATTTAATAAACCAATGGTTTTAAAACAAAACTATATATTATATAATATATATGTTATCAGCACGATACAAATTTAGAGCTACTTCAGATATCAAATGTTGTTTTCAACTGCTTTATGTGTGTGTTCCTATGGTTTGCTGAGTTTATAGCCACCTGTAGGTATATTTATCCACTGAAACAAGTTTTCTATACTTGCAATAATTAGGAATTATAATAAATTGCAAGTACGATAACTCTGTTCTGTAGAACCAACTTAGGTTGTCATATTTTTATGAAGTGATACTACTATGACTACTTATATTAATAATCTATAAATCATAAGTTATTATTACAATTACCATTAGCATTATCATTATGGTCAGAGATAACAAGACAACTACCGTACTGGACATGACATATATATATATATGACTTTCCTTAAAAGGAAGTGATAGCATAAAGCATTGAGTGCAGTGAGAGAGAGAGGGCATTGTGGTCATGTCCTCATTTGACTGGAAACTTACCAATAAACATACCAACATTGGTCGTCCTTGCCCCAATAGCAAGAGTCATCTGATGCTTCTGTTTGTGAACAGTAAGATGATCCTCATTTGTAAACCTCTGAAACAAAATATTTCTTTTTATATTAGTACAATATAGATGCACAGACATATATATATCTATACTATTACAATGCCAAGACAAACATAAGCTACAAACTGTTGTAAAACACATGATTGTGGTGATTGCTATGTTTTCTCAAATTATTTTCACACACTTCATCATAGGTGTCATCCCCACTAAAGATGATACATACTAAAATAAGCATGAAAGCTAAATGTAAAAAAAAAATTATTACATATTTGCTAAATTATTGAGCTAGTTTTAGCATAGCTATATTAGAAAGTGTTCTTATCAGATTTGTAACGCATATGTAATCAACTTGTTTGTACGAGGATCCGCATCCATACCTGATTGCATGAAGGCACAGTGCATGCAAATGGCTTGTCATCATCCTCCATCATTTCAGATTAACCATGGCTACTGGTGCCTCAATGAGTAACCTCAGTCTTTAATACTTTAAAATATTAAAATACAATTTCATCAGTACCAACAAAGAACAATGGTTTTACAAGCCTGAAAACATGTACATATTCTCTCACATACCACATGTGTATCATTTTGAGATGTCATATTTTTAACATAAATATTAGTCAATGCTATTTCAATTGCTTTAACCATGTGTTAAAATTTACTGGACAGTTCACTGTCTAAATATTTTCTCAATAGTGATTTGAAATTAACTTTAAACACCAATACACTTGAAAAAATTGCAGTAATTCTGAAAGTGCTATAGGTGTGCAAATCCTAAAGCTGAGTCATTAACCATAGCAAGTCTTTCCTCAATGATAGCATGAACATACGTATATATTATGTAGACCTACTTGCAAGCACATTATGGGGATGTCTGTGTTCCTACATAGATATATTACATTTCAATTTTTTTTTTAATTGTGACCAAGTCAAGAATAATTTGCACAGGTAAGGCAGATTCTGGCAACTGGTTTTGTACAGATCCTAATTGCTAAATTATTGCCATGTGACACAATAAATAAAAAAAGATTACCTATAAATTAAATTTCCGGTTACTGTTGTCTTACAGTGCTGTTCCAGAAAGTTGTACTTCTCGCCATCACATAATGTGTCAAGTTAGGACGAGTCAGCTCTCATTTAATTCATCATGATGCCTACAAATGTAATAATAAAAATACATCCATTACTTAACCCTCTCTGACAAACTAACTGCTTTTAGCATACCGAGGGTTGCAGCAGAGCATGCTGGCCCATTGCTGCTGTAATTGTACATTTATGTACATCTCTCATTTCAAGCAAAAGGGTACAATTTAGGGGTAAATTCACCCATATATGTACCATTTAGTCAACAGCCTGTATCATTTAAGGTTTTTTCCTGTAATGTCTTTATGCATAAAGTGTATTTAATGGCAGCCGGCTGAAAGGTGCGATAGGATATGTTTACTAGGCACTTCTAATTTTAACATATATTTTACGATATATTAAAGAATGATGCAAAAACCCTAAAAAGTGCCCTAACCCTAACCCTGACCCTAATTAAATTTAAAATATGTGTTAAAATTAGAAGTGCCTAGTAAACATATCCTATCGCACCTTTCAGCCGGCTGCATAATAAAAGGGGTGTTGCTATCACCCGGGCGTGGAGTCAGAGTAACGTGATACAGTTGACGTATACTTCAAAACTTAACAGTAGCCACACAGACTAACGGATACAGTGTAACCCTAACTCCAACACTAACCCTAACACTAAATATATATATATATCGGATCGCTATATATAGGGGCGTCATCCACAAAAATTAATCTGTGGTGTGGGGACAGATATCATGATGAAAAAAACCCTAACCCTAACCCTAACCTAATACTAATACTAATACTAATAATATTAATCCTAATACTAGTGCTTCCACGTTGCGGTAGCACTCCACGCCCGGGGGATAGCATTACCCTAATAAAAGTACTGGCCACCATAATTAAAACTCCAATCATTATAAAGTGGCCAAATTTGGGCATAACTAATATTTTTCAAAGCACTGCCTGGTTACAGTTTATCGTGCTCATTTGCTAAATCAATGTTCCTGAATAAAAGTAGCAAATATTTTACAGTTGGGATTTGCCTATCAAGGAATGTGCAAACACCAATCGCAAAACATTTTACAACTGGACCTGTGACATATACGCCAAGCATAACATCATATACTATATATACAAGCCACATAATCTTTCTCAACATTTTTACATAACATTATTAATAAAATCTAGCTGCTAAACATTTTCTGTGCACAAATAACTTTTTTTATATATCAGGGTTCTCCCCAGGATGAAATTCAAACAGGGGGGAGGGGAGGGGAAGGGGGAGGGGGGGGGAAACTAGGAGGGCGTGTTTTTTTACCGTACCACTAATTAATGCGTAAAATCGCCACCACACCATAGACGGTATTTGGGGTTCTTGTATATATAAGATATAGCCGAGTCGGTGTACAGTTAGTGTTGGGTGTTGGACAGCTTGACTGTTGTATTGTCTGCAGTGCATGCGTGGTACTGTAAAAATACACGCGCCGGGTATCCTGGTCGAATTGTACTTCTTGACGATCGATTCCCGCGCTGGCAAACTTTTGTTGTGGTGGAATTTAATCGGGGCGGAGGTATTTTAAACGGGGCGCAACGATTGAAACAGGGGGGAGTTTTCCCAAACGGGGCGCGCGCGCCCCGTTTGCGCAACGTAGGGAGAACCCTGTATATACATTTCTTTTGATAATCAAAATACTGTTTAATTTGTAAATGTTGCTTTTCAAACCTCACACGCTAATCTCTGTTTTGCACAGATGAGAATAAGGTAAAATTAAAGGGATCCTTTACTCTAGGTTCTGGGATTAATTTAGAATAAAATTACGCTACATAAAAAGTTTCATGGTTAAATCACCATTAGAAATTTTTTTTATGTTTTAAAACTAACGACTACAGTTTGATTACAACGACGGTGGCGCCACTCAAAGCGCACGATCTGAAAAGTTGCGCAAAACAACTTTTCAGCCAAGGGCTACAGATCGAGGGTGTTTCTTATTTATTAATTTAAAAGCAAAAGGATTGTAATATCTTATAAACGACAAATAGTTTCAGTTATATTATGGATAAATTTGTCCTAAAATGAACATCATTCGGTTTAATAGCATTTAGGTAAAAATATAATTCCACTTTTGTGATTAGCCCTCGGTCTGTAACGTGCAAAATATATTGGGAAATGCGCAACTTTTTCAGGGTGGCAGCGCGGTCGCGGGTGTCAATGGTGCCATTCAAATTTCATAGCGTTGATGTATAATTAATTATAACAATTAACTTGGTATCTGGTAACAAGTACGTGTGGGTATAGACGATTTCTTATACAGTAAGTACAGTTGTATGCAGTAAAATCCTAGAGTCTAGTATCCCTTTAAGACAATTGTGCCAATGCTAAACATTTTGAAAGATGATAATTTACACACAAGGTTTAATGCAAAATCTCATCGATTTCTCATTTTCAGTCTTATTCGATGCCTAATAGTAACACCAGGTGCTACCTCTGCACATGCTTATCTCTCCATCTATCCATGTATGTCAGCTTTCAGAGCATTTGGATTGCTCACCTCCATGTCACAGATATCTGGTGAATTCCTGTGGAAAACTCCCACTCCGCAAAATTTAAATGGGATTAAGCACATGAGTAATGGTGCCGCATTGCATTTTGGGTTTGTGGACCTGCTTCCGAGCTCCATTTCAAGGCATGCCAAGCCAAGCTAGCATAATCAGGGTTTCTTATACATAAGAGGCACAGTGGCGCACCGCTGTTGTCAAATTTAACATCGTTATTGTGAAAATGTTCCTGTCTTTACCCGCCGTTGTCAAAATAGTGTCAACCCAAAAATAAATAGGCCACCACGTGCTCCCTATAGATTCCCCTTCTCCCTCTCTCCCCCCGCGTCTGCCTGCAGCATGGCTACGGCACGCCTTTGAATCCATCATGCGCGTTTTTCCACCAAACTGGCAATTACCTCCTTTGTTTAATTTTCCTTCAGAAGAAACCCTGATAATGCTCGCAGGAATGACGTCACACATGACTACATTCATTGGCCGAAACAATCGAGTGGCGCCGTTAGGGAGTTTCAGATGATAAACACGCACTTGCTCCGATTTGCATTTTGGCGGAGTGAGTATCTCTGGGTAAAGTAGGCAGTACTAGTTGGCAAATTATAAATCGAACAAGTAAACATTTAGCTAAGCATAGGTACTAGAATGTAGGCTGTTGGTTGTGTATTTGTGCTGTGATTGTGTGAAACGAAGCGCGCACAGTGCCATTTTTCACTTATACTTTCCCACCTGCTCTACAATTTTGTTGTTTGTGCACAGCAGCGTGCGTTCCTTGTACTTGCATGTTGTAGAGGAGCATTTGAACAACATTTACAGAAAGTTATTATTAATAATGGGTGAAATAGACAAGAGAAACATTGAAACTTTGGTAATAAATACATTTCATGTTTATGTACCATCGTTGTATTATTGTAACGTTCCAAGTGCCTGTGATTAGAACAATATACCTGTGAAAAAGCTTGAATGTATCTAGCTCCAAGAAACGGTCTTTGCTAGGGTTAGAAGATCGTTTCAAATTCTTGCCCATAAAAACTTGTAGTTGGCTCGGTATGGGTATCCAAACATCGCCACAGCTAGCGTCACATGTAATAGCTCAAACAAATCTATAAACCTGTGGCTTGCTCGCAGTAACTGGGCGCTACTGGGCGTTATTTATTCGTATTTTCTGAGATGAATTGGATAAAAACAACCAGACAGCCGCCATGTCCGCCATGTTCGGCGGCACTAAAATCGGCAATGGACCTGATTTTCACAGTGCATAGGCCTAAACACAAGGCAAGTACATATCTTCGTAATGATAATTATTAAGTTGTTGTAGATTGATGTTTCCAGGTTTTCAATGTTTTAATATTTATATATATACGAGTATATGATGCTTATTTATGCTCGCGCCAACGCTATGGTATGTTATGTCATTTCGGGTTTTCCGCGTTCTGATCGAAACGCATGCGCAGTGGAAACATGGCGGTTGGCAGTTAAAGTTAAATTTAGGTTCGGCTCTTGAAATTTACACTGTGCACAGCGAACTGAGGTATTAGTTTTAATAACAACGCTGGAATACTATAAGGTGAAGGTTATACTTGATACAAAACAAGGCAGAAATACTTAGATGATTATTTTATTTGAGATATACGTAATTGTTCGGCAGTTTTTGTAGAAGTACAAGATTAGGCGCAAATCCACTTTAGCCACCTTAGGTATCACGAAGTGATGCACAGATTTCTGTGTATCATCAACTGATGCACAGACTCCGTATACCAAGGAATGGTGCAAAAACCCTAACCCTAGCCCTAAGTCATAAAGTATAACCTTAGGTATCACGAAGTGTGTTAGGGTTAGGGTTAGGGTTAGTGTTAGGGATTTTACATCATTCCTTGATATACGGAAAGTCTGTGCATCAGTTGATGATACACAGAAATCTGTGCATCACTTCGTGATACCTAAGGTGCTTAAAGTGAATTTGCGCCACAAGATTATCCAATGGATGGGTGTCAGGCTGTGTATATTGACGTTAGTCACACAGCCTGGTCGGGCTAGAATGTATCTAGCTCTAGAACTATAGCCCTCCGCTCCGCCGCAGTTGCTGTGCGGCCGCCTGCAGTTGCCGCCTGCGCCTGCCGCTTGCCTGTTCTTGCCGCCTGCGCCTGCGGCGGAGTGGACGGCTATAGTTCTAGAGCTAGAATGTATCCTAAAACAAGTAAAACCAACGTTCACTGCAAAGTCAAGTAGAATAGGGGACCTAACTTGAAAGTTGCAGCTAACACAGTGACAGTGTACCAAGCAAATCTACTAATTGCTACCACTGGCAGCAAGATCAAGTCATTTTATATTATATATATGGTGAGAAGCGATCAGGTAACTTATGGCTAGACCTAAGTGAAGTTAAAAAAAAAAAAACCGTCACAACAGTAAACACAAGCAAAGGCTGTTTGTTGACTCAATCAGTCAATGACTGTTGTCTGTTGACGACCAATGGACCATGGTCAGAAAACAAAGTCTTGGCATTAATTTACGAATGTCTCTACGAATTCAACCATGATTAACAAAGAATATTATTGATACCTATCGGCGTTCATAACCTATTTAAACCATTACCTAAGATCCCAGAGGTTAAACCTGTAAATATTTGAAGTTCCTATATTTCCAACAAGAAACTTACTTTGCTGTTATATTGGTGGCGCCACCTTTTGTGATACTTAACATGTATTTTTTTCTATGATTTCTAATATCTATATTAGACGCTAAAATTCTTGTTAGGACATTGCATGACTTTATTTTCTAATCGCACTTTCGTGAGTATTTGTTTAATTTTAGACAGCCTAATCTTCGTTTCGTTTGCGTTGCTATGCTATCGTCATCGCCATTCCCATCATCGGTATGCTTGTCGTTCAATTTATGTTCAGCGTCCCCTCCGACACACACCTGTTGTCATGTTCGTCTCTGTCTCCGTAGGTAAAAGATTTTAGCTGCAGCAATACTATCACTATAGTCACTTCAGCAGGCTACTCCCCCTCCATCATTCACCTGGGGTAGATTCATCAACGCGCGTACGCAAAACATTTTTCGTAAATCTTGTGTACGCAATCGACGTTGCGATTACAACACAGCTATTACTATACTATTAGTATACTATTACTATACTATATACTATTACAATACTATTAGTATATTTGCGTACGATTTCGCGTATGCAAGCCATGCCGTTTTAGTTGCAATTCATCAAGCTAAAATTTATGCAAACCTTTGCGTAACTTTACACGAGCTGACGAGGTGCCGTAAACCACTCGAAATTTCCGCAAGCGTTTCCAACATACCGCAGCATGCATTATTTTATTGAGAAAACATTATAAAATTACTACTCAACTAAAAATAAATAAATAATTACCATACTACACAGACAGGCGGCGCCTTTGACGCTTTTCTTTTCATCTTTTGTCACAGCTTGGCATTGTTTTCGTTATAAGCGAGTTCGTAGATAGCCGTGTACGTGCACACGCACGCACGCACGCACGCACGCACGCACGCACACACGCACGTGTACGTGCACACACGCACGCACGCACGCACGTGTACGTGCACACACGCACGCACGTACGCACGTGTACGTGCACACACGCACGCACACGCACGCACGTGTATGTGCACACACACACACGCACGCACGTGTACGTGCACACACATGCACGCACGCACGTGTACGTGCACACGCACGCACGCACGCACATGTACGTGCACACGCACGCACGCACGCACATGTACGTGCACACGCACGCACGCACGCACACGTGCACATGCACGCACGCACGCACGTATACGTGTCGCTGCTTTCATCGAGTGTTGAACCAACTTGAACGCAATTATCATACAAACGAAAATGAGGACAACGATCACATCCCCCATCACTCCTGTAGACAGAGCTAGAGCCATATGGTTTACATACAAGAGAGGCGTCAGTTTGGTTCCTATGGTATGTGTCGCACAGTGTGATTGGTTTATGCTAGGCACGCCCCTCAACAGCCAGCAGATACGATGGCGTAGTGGATTTAAACTGGAATTCATCAACATTTGCGTACGCAGGTGCTACGCTGCGTTGATGAATCGCACCTACGAGCTTTGCGTAATTACTTCGTAGAAACTTTGTGTACGCAATACACTTTACGCAACGTTGATGAATCAGGCCCCTGGGGCTCGTTTAAAGTGATTACGTCACCGTAAATAGTAAAAAAAAATATATAAGTGATTCTGTTCACTTTTATGGTTAAATTGCTGCATTATACTTCTTATTTTACTATATTGTTCGATGTGAACATACTCGTGACTCATACATAGCCCATAGCAAGCAATTAATGTTATGAACACTAATATCAAATCGTCCAGGTTTTTTGGATTTTTAGCTAGTTGAGAAACAACCTTATCAGGTAAGAATTTGACGATACGTTAGTTCTTACTTTTAATGTAAAAAATGGCAACACAAATTTTACAAATTTTACCATAGAAAATTCGTGACATAGTCACTTTAAAGCTACGCAAAGGTTTACGTAAATTTTAGCTTGATGAATCGCACCTAAAACGGCCTCGCTTGCGTACGCGAAATCGTACGCAAATTTACTAAATAGCTGTGTTGATGAATCTCAACTAAGCAACGTCGATTGCGTACACAAGATTTACGAAAAATATTTTGCGTACGCGCGTTGATGAATCTACACCCGGAGTAGATTCATCAACGCTTGTACGCAAAATATCCGCATTTGCGTACGCAGGTGCTACGCTGCGTTGATGAATCGCACATACGAGCTTTGCGTACGTACTTCGTAGAAACTCTGTGTACGCAATACACTTTACGCAACGTTGATGAATCTCGCCCGATCTAGCGATCTAGGGATCTAGGGATCTAGCGATCTAGGGGCGGATCTAGCTTTCAGGAGACGGGGGGGGGATATTTGAGTGAAGGCGTCCCGAATGCACGCGGTGCTAGGGTGGTCCTACTGGAAAATGTAGACAGATATTAATGAGATATCCGAGAATGCTACTAAGGGCAGACATAAACAACGGTCATTTAAGTTCTAACATCATATGGCAAAAGCTGAAGCATATACCATCTCGGCTGCCATCTGCCAGCTCGGCATCTCAAAAAAAAACTTCAATACACATGCTACATATTTACAGGTCGGTGATGCTGCTGGTGCGGAGGGATAAATGTACAACAAAATTTACAGCGTTATTCTCCAACTTTGCTGCACACAGGATATACTAGCAAGTAAGTTGGTTTGCCAAAATTCTTAGCCACCACAAACAATAGGAGAAGGAGGAGGCCTCCTCTTTCTGCTCGTCCTCCTCTCCCCACGCTTCTCTTCGTCCTCATGTTCTTCCTCTGCCTCCTCCCCCACCGTCACATTTCCTCCCCTCCTCTGTCTTCTGTGCCTCTGCCTCCTTCCTTCTGCTATAACTTATGCCTCTTTTCTTCTCCTCTACTGCTACCTGTTCACTCTCCGTGTCTACATCATTCCTCCTCATCTACTAAGTACCTCCTCCACCCTCTCCCCTCATCATCTACACACTCCTTTCCCTCCCTCTCTTCTCCTCCTTTATCTTTTCTCTATCTTCGCTACTGTTTTCTCCCCTCTTTACTATTTACCTCCTCCACCCTCTCCTCTCCCCTCCATTCTCCCTCCACCTCCTCCCTCTCTGTCACCTTCTTCTTCCACTACCACCTTCTTTTTGTCTGAGGTTGGCCGTTCCTCTGCATAACCTTATCATTAGAACGTTATAGTTTCCCGATAAAAATAGTATATTTGTTCTCTGACCAGCTGCAATGTGGTTTCGTTTTTATATTTTCCTTACTCTGCTTTATATACACTTGTATGTAAGCCGCTATGGTTCCCATATGGAGAGACGTGCGCACTATAGAATTTTACTAGCAGGAATTAATTGACCATGTCAGATGAGCTATAAATACGCGAGTTCAGGCTAGGCCATTATATTAATTACAAACAAATTATTTCCCTCACTAATATTAGATATCGAATATACACCCTATCACAGTGTCATGATAATGTTAATTATATATGCAAGAAATTGATAATACAAATCAATAAATGTTTATAAAAAAATACAACGTAAATAGTGAAATAAGTGTCAAACATAACTATGATATATATCAGAAGTAGATAATAGGGAATTCCTTTATTATCTACTTCTGATATATATATATATATATATATATATATATATATATTATATCATATGATACAATTCAGTAACCCAACAATATCTCATAATATATTATTGCCCATACTATAAACTTATAGCTATCATGAAGAACAACTTTCTTTGCTTTCAGTATTTCTAGTATTATAGACATTATGGCACCAGCACCTGTGGCAACAAGGGACAAGAGCTATAGTACTAGAGTAATGCTTTCAGATGCATTTTTCATTGAACAATCGTGGTTCGTTTACAATAAAATACTTAAATACATTAGCAAATATTTCAAAATAAGATTACACGTGAAAACATGTAGTTAAAAGCAAAGTTTTTACATTACATTAGCCTGCAGTATTTTCCTGGTCTTCACAACACAAACAAATGATACTACCACATGTGTAATCAATACTGTTGAATTTAGCTACTCAATCAAAGCTGATTGTTTTATTTGTATTGATGAAATTATCTCTTACAAGCTATGGCGCTTACCATACTATCACATTATTTCATATTACCATTTTCTACGCAGCGGAAACAAAAGCTAGACAGCAAGTGTACATAATTTCAGTCAAGCGCATCAATTTGATCACAACGTGCGTAATTTGTATCACGAATTGTGTCACACCTGACTCACAAGTTGAGCAGGGTATTTGGTACTTGCAGTGAGCAGACTGCTGCATGCATAGGCTGCGGTATAGGTGGCGCCACCATCAAGCTGTGCCAGGTAGCAGACGGCTGGTGGTACATGCGTAGGTAGTGGTTGCCGTGACCGAGATTTAGCTTCCCGGCCACAACCAGCCGGTCTCCAAGCATAGCCATGCCGAACACGTCCGACTTCTGCATCAGGCACATCTGTGAGCGACTGTCCATCTTCTGCCAACCATCACTGCTCAACACCTCAATATCACAGAGCTTCATGTGGCACTGGTGTGTCGTGCTGGGACAGTGCGGTCGCCAGCCGCCAATCACGTACACGCTGCTGCCACTGCCTGGAGCTGTCACCGCATGTGCATTGCAGCGGCGTTCCTTCAGGGCGGGCATCGGGGACCACGAGTCCGAACGTGGCTCGTACCTCTCCACCGACTCGTAGAACTTGCCATTGCTAAATCCGCCAATCATCAGAATGTTTTCATTGGTAACGGCGTAGGCAGCGCCGCTTCGTGGCACAGCGATCAGGCCCACCTCCTGCCAAGTATTCTTAAAGATGTTGAGAACTTCAATGTAAGGCACAGGATCGCCGCTGTGTGGGAATTCGCCACCCAAAACAAACAGCTCTTCTTTAATGGAAACCAGTCCACAGCGTACTCGTGGGTGCTTAACTGATGCCACTTCAATCCATTTGTTTTCGGTCGGGTCATACCGCTCCACAGCTAGGAGTGGTACATGAGCCATGTCGTTTCCATGTGTCATACCGCCCACTGCGTACATATACTTTCCTGAAAAGTGTACTAGCTATTTATTTTCACAAAACCGAGATATTTTCCAGTTCACGCACACTCAACATTCCAACCATTGCAGCAAAACTTTGTTATTTCCCGAAAACGTTCGGAGATTCGACCAAACTTGACTAATTTAAAATAGGCACTCAGATTAATGTTGTAAAGCAATATATAGAAGTGGTTACGATTCACTAAACAGTCTCCTTAGCAAGCACAACTCATATACCTACCTGCTTGGATGACACTGTGACCAAACCGAGGATGAAGCATGTCTGCCAGAGGAATCCAGGCTGCTCCCTCATTTCGACATGGATGAGCTGGCTTCAGACAGTACACGCTAGAAAGAAGCTGGTTCATCCTGTTCACAGACTCTTGACTGAAAGAAATAACATAAAAAACAGAATGAACATGTGAACGCAGTATACACATGTTCAGGAAAACAGTACATATACAAATCCTGACAGCACAGAGGTGGTTTATCTATTTGGTATCGTCAAGCGTGGGAGTGCCATTAATAACCAAATAATACAACTGATCCATTCACATTCGTTATCAGTATACGTGTTGTCTGCCCATTTCTGCTACAAGAATAACAATCAGCTACAGGTTGTACCTTTTCATTTTTCTGTAAGGCTCTGCACTGCCACCAGCAACAATGAACACTTGCTTTCCCTGACCTCGATTAAGGGACCGATTCACCTCTGTCTTCTGTATTTTCATGTGCTCCCACTTTATGAACAACTCTATAAAAACAAATTGTAACTATATACACGAGTAGGAACACACTTTTCATCACCATATTTCTTAGTCGCATAATGACATAGTGGTAGAAGAACAGTAACACAGTAACAGTTCACATATGAACTTAGAAAAACCATGCCAAATGCAATATGTGTAGAGCAGGATAATTATGGTGTACTGTGCAAGCAGTTACCAGCAAGTGGTAGTTGCCATGCAGCCTACATATGGGATTTATTATGTGAATGTATGTTTTAAAACTTATACATCACATAGCCACTTATAAACCGCTTATAATGAAAGTGTCAATGACACTATAGCTCACCGCATGTTTAACTATTTAACCTTGCTACCTAATTTGCATAATCTAGAAAAAATATGAAAACCCAAGTGATATGTTTTGGGGCCAGTCCTTATTCATTCACATACCAAAAATGAGCAAAATCCATTGAACCTGAACTGACTTATGGCCATTTCCATTTTTGCCAAAAAGTGGGTGTGGCTCAAAAGTAGGTCGACTGGCGTTCAAATCTCTCCCATAGGAGTAACAACTGTATGCAATTTGAAACATGTGAGTCAAACTGTTCTTGAGTTATCGTTGACCGTAGGCAGACACTGAAATGCATAGTGAAATTGCCAAAATCTACATAATTTGCATAATAAAAAAAAAAATCAAAACCCCTGTGATATGTTTTGGGGCCAGTCATTATTCATTCACATACCAAAAATGAGCAAAATCCGTTGAACCTGAACTGACATGGCCATTTCCATTTTTGGCAAAAAGTGGGCGTGGCTCGAAAGTAGGTCAACTGGCGTGCTCCAATATAGGACGTTCACATCTCTCCCATAGGAGTAACAACTGTATGCAATTTGAAACAATTGGGTCAAACGGTTCTCAAGTTATCGTTGACCGTAGCCAAATAATATATCAGATCACAATAATATATGATGAATAAATGAAGAGTATATCTATAGCTGAGCCTAGCAAGGTGATTATTGCTGGGTATCAGAACAGGACAGTCGACCATAAATTGCATATTTCACATCTCAAAAAGTGAAGCATATTGTGGGATAAAACCAGTCTTCGACGTTAGGCGGTGGACCGTGGTCCGAGACCACCAAAATCTCTCTCGGTCCAGTAAATTTTGCTGGCTTGGTGGACCGAAGGTCCAGTGTTTAGAAATTTTATTCGTGAAGACTGTAAAAGTATGGTAGTAATTGCTACTAAAGTTTGTATACAAAAATTTAACATCCAATAATAACACTGCATACATCTGACAAATTAAAATTTTGATGTAATGTAAAAACGGTTGTCAAAGGTACACAGCCTATATTATTGCACTGTGACAGGCTTTGCTTTTTGACAGTCATTTGCTATGACTTGCCTATTATATGAAATGGGGTTACCGGTCATGTACAGCCAAACTGTGAAATTGGCCTTTTGAGTTATGATAAAATTGTAACTGCTGAGTCATTATCACACATGTTATTAGAGGCAGTGTAAAATGAAACCAGTCTGGGATTATATAGCTTACATATCTAAATTTCATTATTTTACTAATCAGGGCGCGAAATTAGCACCGGCCCACCGGCATATGCCGGTAAATGATTTGGAGGGCCAGTAACATTGGCAAAACACCGGTCCGCCAAGCCGGTGGTTTGAGCCGTTTTAGTGAGTACCTACATATTTATTTATAGAATTAATGAGCAAATAGCCTACAGTACTGTTTTACCTGAAGGACATCACCCCATAATTTATCAACATTTTACAAATTTTAAATCAAGAATGCAAGCGTGAAACATGACATTGACAAAAACACTTCGGACATCATTCAGGATCTGCATTATAGTCGGTTCAACAGCTACTACGCAATGCCACACTACAACATTTTTCGGACAAGCAAGAGTCAGTGAAACAGTCTTATCTTTATTTTTGAAAAAACATTGTGAGCGCTGGTAAATTATGGTGATGGTGGGCAAAAAACTGCGGTTACCAGCCCTCTGTGCCGGTGCAAAAAAACCTGAATTTCATGCCCTGCTAATTGTGTATTGATGTTACTGACGAAGGGTGTCTTTCGTCACTCTTTTTAGTTGGCACGGTGCGCAACCTAGGAACACGCATAATAACACTACTACTCTGACTGATTAGTTGAACAGCATACAAAAATGTAATGTAAAATGGGCCAAAGATAACTAGTTATTTTTGAGGACTGCAAACTAGAACACCTTTGAATGCTGCATTCTTGTTAGTCAGCTTCACAAGAGGTTCGCTAAGAACCATGCTTGGGCATAGGTGACAAAGTCTAAGACAGGTGGCCATTAACTCTTCCAGGTGTGTTTGTCGCTCATCCATATGTTTTACCCACTGCAATGTTGCATTCCATACTTCCTGCAATTCAAAAATATATTAGTGTTAATTTAACAGGGTCTTCACAAAATTGGTTTAAAAGCATTGCCATACTACCATTTAAAATTGATTTTTTGCAATATCTCTTCCTAACCACAGCAGAGCCAAGCATAAAGAGCCATAATATTATAACAAATTAACAAAACTACATATTTTATTACTACAGCAACTATACACAATGGTGCACATAGTAGGTTCACACGTTGTCTGATGATGTAAATGTATATCAGCTAATCACAAAATGTCAATGATTCATTACTGTTAACTTGTGATTTTACCTGCTCAGTACTGACCGCCAGAGTATCTCTCTTCAGTAGCTGGGCAAGTTGTTCAAATGTCAGTGTTAGGAACTCTTCACCATGCCACACTTGGCTGAAGACATCAAGCATAATATGCACTAGCCTCACACCATGCCACCTAGTATCTGGCTACAGAAACCACAGTCAATACTAGATTTGCACTGTGAGGTGTAACCATTAGCATATCTATGCAATATAACTGTATAGATATGTCCATAAAATAACAAATAAACCAAGAAATGCTTGCTTTAGGTAAGTTTTAATATTTTTGGAAATACATACCTGAAATTCATATGAATAAACTGCTCTGCCACATGGTGAGTCCAGGGGCAGGAGAACTGCTCCGTAAATGCCCAGATGCCTATGCAGTTTTGCAAGTTTATATTTTGTTCCAGAAAGTCACCACATATCTGTAAAACAAGTTTTGAACTTGGCTGAGGTAACATGATTTACACATTTGTTGTTGGTTCTCCATACATTTTTCATTATGCAGCTGTAAACCACAACAGGTTAATTTAAAATACTCCACCTGCTCCAATGCTGAATAAGTTATGTACTCAATGTTGGAAATAGTGGTGATCCTGTTGTCCCAGACAACCAAAAATCATGCAGGACAACCAACATCTTCCAGGTGGTTGTCCTGTGGACATTCAGTATTTTCATGTTGCACCGCTGACGGCCGTAATTTTTGAATATTTTTGTTGGTCAACCGAACATCTGGTTAATTTCATTTTCACTATCCTCTCCAATCCTAAAAAATACCTGTGCAAAAGGCAGTTGTATAGACCCCTCAAACAAAGTTAATAGTATTTCATTCAGGACAACCACATATTGTTGAGGACAACCACTTTCTTCCATCAGTTTGTCCTCTGTCCAGACAACCTGATTTTTTTTCTTATTTCCAATGCTGGTACTGTGTTGACTGTACCTGTTTTAGTTCTTCAATAAGAAAAATATCAGCAGCTTGTAAAATGTCTTGCACATTTTCAACATTCAGCTCAATTTCTGCAGTGTAAATGTAGTCCAGGATATGCTCAAATGTGCAGCAAGATAGCTCCTTCACTTCAACTTCAGCAGCCCTTTGAGCTATTGCTGAACCAGTATCTTCTTGGCTATATGCATATAGCAACCTGCAAAATATGCATACAACCATGAGCAAATTCAATAAACCAGTATATTATTCTTTTAGTTAGATAATACAATGGAACCACAGTGACAGTGTAGTGTGAAGTGTGTGTGTTTTGACAACACTTTTATGTCGGACAAAAATGACTAACTATTATGTTACATGGGATTTATGGAAGGCAACAGAAGCACATCATGTAGGGTAGTGATAACAGTGAGATGAATTTCACAGAATTTGCAGGGGCACCACAGCAAATAGGGAGGGCATATGCAATCAGTGCTCTTGTGAAATTTGCAACCTGCTTTAGGAAATTACATTTGCAAATCATTTGCTGTTGGTGACCTAATTTGGCTTACTAATTTGTGGTTAAGCTCAAAATTCTCATAAATCAGCTACTTTAGAAAATTAATATATTATAGGCCTATAATCCACCGAATGAAAACTACAATTACGACACAACAAGTATTTTGTTAGCCAAAATATTGTTCAATATTTTTATGTACAAAATATTTTTCATAAAACATCCAAAACATACAATTCACGTGTTTTTACAATAAAAACTAGTGCTGCCTATATGTGCACATGTGACCACCTGGCTTCTCTTCTCGTAGCTGGCTACTCTCGCGCTGTACTGCATGGTATATTGTGTACTCGGTATACATTTTACTAGATTAAATCCACGAATGCATACACGAAAAATATGCATAAACGAATGCATATATACGAAAAATGCATACAAAACAAAAATTCACCTCCATCTATGAGCTTGCGCACAGTGGCATGCATGGAGTGGGATTGCAGATGTATGTGGATGTGCATTGGGATGTGCATGCGGATATGTGTGTGTGGACTGCAGATGTGTGATGGAGTGTGTGGCAGATGTGTGATGGAGTGTGTGGCAGATGTGTGATGGAGTGTGTGACATATGTGTGATGGAGTGTGTGGCAGATGTGCATTTGAACAGTATTTACATAGAATTATTAGTACATAAACATCATTACCAATAAAATATTAGGAATGTGGTAGTACAATATTTTTACATTGGCGAAACTAAATGCTGTCTTGCGGATAGGTTTGCTAAACATCTCAGATCCATTCGCCTTAGTTTGCATGGTTTCCCTGTTGCTGATCATTTCAACCAGCCGGCTCACAGTATTAATGACGTGCGTGTTTGCAGCTGCCAACCGAGAACATATTACAATAGCTCACGTCGACACATGACTGAGCGGAAATTACAGTAATTCTGAGAGTTGGTTGTTTGAAGCCAGGTGCTATGAATGTCAAGTTCAATTACATGTGATTTACATTGCTCGTTTTTATAACTGGGCAAATATATGCCACTAATTTGTATGTGTTTGTTAAATTGTGTATAAATATATATATATATATATATATATATATATATATATACACGTGTTTATAATATATTATATTATTACATTGCCACATTTCTGTATCCTTTTTGGTTATATTTATTTTATGGCTTTCACATTTTTTCTTCTATTTGTCTTCATGGTTAACGAGCATAGTTTGAATTATTCTGTTTTCATCATATTATAACACATTGCATTTTTGTTTTATGTTAACCGGTATAAAGCCTAATAATAATGCCAGTTAATGCCTGAGGAAGAGATATAATTCTCGAAAGCTCGCGTATTAAAATTTTAACACCCTACTCCTATTTTTACCATTTGTTTTTTTTATATACATGGGTGTTCGTGTGTTTTTACTACTAATTTATATTATGCAGAATGTGTTAGGCGGCGAGTCGAGCTCTCCGACCAGCAGGCAGGTCCTCTAAGCCCACGAGCCGAGCTGGCCTACCTCCAGGCAGGTGATCTCGACACACGGATTGAGTTTGCCGGCGAGGCAATTTGTGGGTCCGTAGTCAAATACTCGCCGGCAAACTAGACCCGTGTGTCGAGATTATCCACCTGGGGGTCGGCTAGTCCGAGTTTCCTCTGACCAATGCCAACACCGACGATTTTGGTGGATTTGGTGTGGGTTGGGTCGGGTGAGGTAAGTTCAGGTAACCCACACAAAATCCACCAAAATCGTCCGTGTGGGCTGCGGGCATTGGTCAGAGAAAACCCGAACTAGCGGTCGGCCAGCTCGGCCTTGTTGGGTTACGTTCTGTTTCTGTAATCATATAATATTAGACTACAGCCCTAGCCGGGCCAGTACGACCGTTTCAGGTCAAGCCACGTTGTGAGAAGCAAGAAGACAACTTGTGGCTACTACTACTAATAGTAGTACCGACCCACCTAGCTCTAGTACTATAGCCCGTGTACAGTTGCCGCAGGGCTATAGGCCTAGAACATAATTCTACTACGAATGCTAGGAACCAACTTATTCACGGTCACTCGCGGCTATAAAACGTGTGGTAGGCAATTAATGCCTCTTATCCCAAGTGAAAATGTCTCAAGTTATATCAGCTACTAAAATTTAACCTCTAACTATGAGTATCGTTGAAATGGTCTGCTTGCGGTATTTCTTGTGAACGAACATTCGATTTACAAACTTCAAACCGCCATTTTTGGTGGCGCTGCAGCAGCGCCAGTCAGCAGGTTGGTCCCTAGCATTCGTAATAGAATATTCTAGGCCTATAGCCCTGCGGCAACTGTAACTACTAACTGTAAGTGGAAGTATAAGCAGGCTATAGTATACTGTATAGTACTACTAGTACTAGTACTAGAGCTACTACCCACCTAATAGCAGGTAGGAAAGCGTGCTGCCTAAATTCGCTCGATGCTCGCTTCATTTGACACTTTCACAGCACGAATACACATCCAACAGCTTCAATCTTTGTTTCTCCTTCAACAACAGTGCTCACTTGTTATAAAAACATAATGTCTCTGTTCGTAACCGAGCTGTGTCATGCGAAATCACACAAAGGCTGACGAAATTCTCGCGTTCGCGAACCTTGCCCAGTAATGGAAATGGCTGTCAGAATCAGGAAACACCTACCGGCGCTCTTCGTGACCTCAATCTTGCGCCGCAACGCTGCAACGTTTTTGCAACGTTCCAATGGCGAGGCTCGTACGGGAGTTGGAAAGCAGTGCGCCGCCTGCGCGCCGCCTATAGCCCATAGACTGGCACTCGCTTCCACCTCTCGGCTTAGCTTAGTCACTCGATGGGTAATCGAGGTGGGAGCGAGTCCCAGTCTATATAGCCTTTGTCCTTGCAGCCATTTCCATTACTGGGCAAAGTTCGCGAACGCGAAAATTTCTTCGATTTCTTCGAAAAATTCGCGAACGCGTCTTTCTGTGATTTCGCGTGACACAGCTCGGTTAGTGACGAAGATACACAAATATAAGAATGGGGTGTCAAGTAGGTTTAGAAAACACCGAGGTAACTAAGTTTCTACAAGAGATAATAGCACATGTCAGAAAAAAGGAAATTCTATCAAGATGATGTATGAGTATCGTATATATTGAGACCAGGGGTGGAAAGATGTGACAATGGAGATAAAATTCTTGCAATTCAGAAAGTTTCATAGATCGGCTCCACAAACACATCAATATACCGAAGATAAAGGCTTGGTTGGGTCCAGTGAAGAGCGAACATTTTGATTTCAATGTAGGCCAGAACAAAATAGACACGCATAGCTAGGACGCGCATCTTCGTACATAGCGACGCCATTAATTGAGAATAAAAATGTCCAATTGAAGAGTAAAACACGCTTGGTTAAAACTAGTTCGGTAACCGTATCATGGTATCAGTATTCGAAAATTATTAAAGGCTTGTCTAAAAAAATTACCGTAAAGCGTATTAAACGCCTGATTATTAGGTATCACAGTGTATAGAGATTTATGTCCAGTGTGAATATGATT